ATACCACGGTTCTCAGCCGCACTGTGGTAGCACAAACCATTCGCACAATGGCGAAACCCTACCGTTGTTCTATATTATATTTTCATTTGAAAAGTCCGAAAGTTACTGCAGGTCAATTCTTTACTATTCTTCAATTGATTTTTTACTGTTCCCCATCTTTAGTATGATGCCAGCTACATAAACATGAGCGGAGCTTGGGGTGGGCCAACCTAGGCCCTGCCGCCCTGGCCCACCCCAAATTTTAAAAATACCTTAATTTTTAGTGTGAAAATTTTGTTGTAATTTTTTTTCAAAAAAATTCTTTGTAATGACCCAATGCGGCCCGGTGCTCTGGCTCCGCCCCTTAACATAAACACACTTTTCTAAGTAATCCTTCGTGTGTCCTAATGTTAATAGTGGACGGAGGTTGTACATTTTACATTTTTATGGATGGCACCCATGACTCAACGAAAGGGCGAAAACTCCACCTCATACGACCCATATGACTCATATCTAATACCTCATCGTTTAAAATAATACTTCTATTTCATAGAGTACGTGTTAAACCTTACTATTGGTCTCTTTGACCTGATGTCAGATTGTCAGGTCGTGAATAATAATGGAATCGATCAATACTTTAAAGGGAAAAGGTGCAAATAGGCCCATGTACTAACCAAAAAAGGTCAAATAAGCCCTTATTTAGGAGGTTTTGTCCGACCATCGTCATTTGGGGCGGTTCCCGGTGGAATTTTTTGATGAAATTTTTTTAGCATCTTATTCATCAAGTCTAGTTTACGCATATCAAATTTCAGCTAATACTTCAATCGGGAAGGTATTCAAATGAATTCTTGAAGCTAACTGCGCTTCTAACTGTGCAGTTATTTTCAGGAATTCATTTGAATGCCTTTCCGATTGAAGTTTTAGCTGAAATTTTGTATGAGTAAACTAGACTTAATGAATAAGATTCTCAAAAAAATTCATCAAAAAATTCCACCGGGAACCAACCCAAATGGTGACGGCCGGACAGAGCCTCCTAAATAAGGGCTTATTTGACCTTTTTTGGTTAGTACATAGGCCTATTTGCACCTTTTCCCTACTTTAAAAAACACCAAAGTCATAATTCATAAATGACTGGAAGAGGGAATTTATCATACCGTCCTACATTTATTAATAATGTTGGAGTGTTAAAAGAATGTTAGTTCAACATATCATATGCCTACATAATGTTATACTCACTTTTGTAATGTACTACGTATAAGGATAAGGATTATATTATACTTAGTATTAATTAATCGACTCTAAACGTACAATAAAATCCAGACATACATCTTTAACTTATCACTGCTCCTACGATCAAACATAGTCTACCACTCAACAATTATAAAACTCACATATATAACTAAAAAAAATCACATATATAACTCAATTACATATAGGGTTGATATTATATTTACATTAAATTAAAATGACAAGCCTAAAATTAAGAATCACACTCCAACGATAGACTCATTCATCGTGGCTTCCATTTTTTAAATCCTTTTCTTTGAAAGGAAAAAATGCATATAATTTTTTTTTTGCAAATCTTTCTAATGTATTATAACATCTCTTCTATTTTAAAATCAACATCTTTGAATTGAAAGACATATAACCTATTTAATAACTCCTAAATCAGAATAAAAGGGTAGTAGGATCGGAATAGCATTAAAAGCTAATTACCCAAAAAATAATATTAACCCCCAAATCATAAAGCGACTTGATCTTTTATTGAAGCTAAACATAAAAACGTACTAGTATACGTAGTATCATTTTCCGTAAAAGTTGAAATAGTATCGTAAAATATTTAAAATGTTAGGAAAAGATGTTCATATATACATTCAATTCAAAGAAATCTTATTGGGAAATTGGGGTCCTATATAATATCACACAGAAAACACATAAACTATACAAAAGTTTGAGAACCCATGAAAATCATTTAAAATGGTTGAGATATAAAAGAACCAACAGAAAAGTTTTATTTTAAGATACTTCCCCCAATATCAAGGTACGGAAAATTGGCAAAACATTAATGTGTAGTTTCCCGAGAGGTTGGTCGGGGGGAGAAAAGGAAGAAAGAGTGACATGAGTGGTTACAAATGGTGGAAGAATGAAGGGCAAGCTTAACGGTGGATCAGCGCAGCTTTCTAAGACCACTCTCCAACGACTTTCCACACTTGCATTCATTTCTGTCATATGCCATGACTAAGATCGTTTTAGGGGTAAAATCATTTTTGAGAAGCTGCTCTCTCTCAGCTTCTAAAAAAACTGATTCTAGGAGTAAATTAGAGCACCAAAATCACTTCTACACTTTCACTCAAATACTCCAACTTCTGCTTCTGCTCCCTAAAGGAGCAGAAACAGTTTTAAGAATCAGATCCAAACACTCCCTTAGCCTCACATCATTATGTTTTTTTGAACGAAAATGACTTAAATTACCATAATAGAACGTAAACAGGTTACAAAATAACAAAAAACCTTCTGACTGTCGTCTGTTATAGAACCAGACTTAGAATTAATCACTTCCGTAGAAACAATATAAGAAATTATTGAAAATATAAAAATGACATTCAAACGTTCTTTGTTACTAGTAATTCTTTTTACACAAATATAAGATTTATAAATTCATAAGATTATACTAATAGAAATCATTGTCCAAAGTCCACTTCCTACACATTTAAATCTCAAATCTAAGTTCAAACACAACTTCTAGATCATATGGTGGCAATATTTAGATGTAAGGTTGGTTTGATTTACTTTGTAAAACAGTTAGTTCTCATTTAGAGAGTAGAAACATATATTGGAGTTTTTGGATAAACGGAAGTACTTCCGAATGCTCTAAATACTCATAAAAATAACATTTCAAAAATCGTGGGAGACCAGTTTGTGAAAAGAAGCGGTAGAAGTCATTCAAACATAAAACAAAGCCTCTAAAATCAAATATGATAGCATGTATAGTTCGCACTTTCTATTACTCCGCGTTAGATAGTAGATACTATATACGGAGTATGAACTATGAAGTGTTCAAATCACTAATCAATCTGGTATGACCCTTTCTCTAATTTGATTTGATGTACTTTGATTTGAAAATGTTTGATCAATTTTTATAGTCAAAAGCTTATATTATCATAACAAGAATATGTAAAACAATGTCTAGATATTTATAAAGATCTAATTACAAGTTTTGAGAACAGACGTGATAGAGTGAGTCACCCGTGAAAAAAACAATCTGATTCACTAAATATAAAACATACACATAAGGGACATAAGGCTAATCAACAATTTGAATCTAACACCTAATCAACAATCAACAATTAAGTAAGCGAAAATAACCAAAATTAGTACAAAAACCCCAAACTAAAAATGGTATGCATGACAAGAGAGCCTGAATCATTTAATCAACCAGGCGAGCTTGTAACATAGACCCCGCAACCTTTTATTTTTTTACTCACTCTCCACCAAATTGCTGGTGTTCTCCTTTCTCCCTCGTCACCAAGAACTACAAGCGAGAAACCAAGAGCATTATCGCTGTCTTGTCGATCCAGAAATCTGAGATACTCTGGATCAAGAAATAATTATACTAAGCTTAAACATTAGTGAAATAAGTTGAATATGAAGAATGAAAAAATTACACTAAAAAATTGGAAAAAATAAAGTTACATTGAGGTTCAGCTCACCATGACATGTACATAGATCCTCCCCTCGCTCATCGGCCAAATGAATTATTTCTAACCTTAATTATCTCTCATCCTCACCTCCGCGCAACCAAAAGTTGGTGCTACTGTGCCTCACCCTGCCTCATTGCGTCTCACCGTTAGCTCTCTCACCATATACGTACATATATATATGCTTCCACCAGAGCCATCGAACCAAGTGGACCAAACGACGTCCGGTGCAAAAACAAGCCGAACACATAAGATCGGTACAAAAAACCTTCATTGAAGCCATGATAAGGAATTGTTTGATTACATCTGAGAAGAATAAAAATAAGCAACACTTAATGCAATGATCAAGGGAGTGTCCTTCAATTCTACTATTAAAAAGAGATTTTCAAAGTAATTTTAGAGGAAACATTTAGAACTATTCAGTAATATTTGTTTGGAAAAGTAAATGGTAGTAATATTCAGTATAAGAAGTGCCTTTCTGTAGTAGAAGAAGTGAAAAATGATTTAAATCATTCTTTTATCTGTTTTTAGCTTTTAATTTTTAAGCGCTTAATTTAATAAAAAAAATAATACTTGATAACACCTACTTCAGCTTTTTAGGTCAAAGATTTAAAAAATATCCTCCGTATCATAATAGCTGCAACATTTGAATTTACACACTATTCATGTACTCTACTTTGACTACATTTTATTTACTAATGTATGTGAATTACTCCCTCCGTCCCATTTTACCTGTCCTACTTTCCTTTTTGGGCTGTCCCAAAATAAGTGTCTACTTTCCTCTTTTGGAAAGAAATATGTGGTCTATACCATTTCACTTTATTATACTCAAATCTCAACCACAACTTTTACTTTTTCAACCACTTCATTAATAACCGTGCCAAGTCAAACTAAGACACATAAAATGGGACGGAAGTAGCATTATTTTTGAAAAATATTGTTGAATTCGTCTCATTATGAAGCTTCATTATCTGATTTTTAAAAGTTTTTTACTAATAGGGAATTAAAAAAGAACGAAGGAACTAGTATTTTTTAAAAAAGGGAACTACTATTTTTTAAATTATACTAGTAGCAAACATTCCTTAACTACTTTATGGTGTTTTAAAGAAAGTACAAAGGTCCACAACATGTCACATGGACAAACGTTTAAGGTGGAGTGTGGTCACACTAGTAGGACTGTAGAGTGAGTATTTTTGCCGCAAAATCTACAAATGGACGACGCTGGATCCTTCTTGACTTTTCTTCGCTTATTAATTGACCGATGATCCACAGTCCCCATCCGTGAACTCAACTCAAGCGGCCCAACCCCACCGTTTTTAATGTCCCCTTTCTCCCACCATTGACTCTCTCCCTTTATTAATTTCCTCCTCCTTCCCAACACCGGAAGAAACATAATCACACCAACAGAGATATTGATTATGGATTCCCTCTCTTCTTCCCCGTACTCTCACCATCTTTTCACTGCCTTGGCTTGCTTCATTTCCGCCGTCCTCTTCTTTCTCTCCAAATCCAGTAAGAAGCTCAACCTTCCGCCCGGGCCGCCTGGTTGGCCGGTGGTCGGAAACCTCTTTCAGGTGGCTCGCTCTGGGAAACCGTTTTTCCAGTACGTGAGGGACCTCAGGCCCATTTATGGCCCCATTTTCACTCTCAGGATGGGGAGCCGAACCATGATCGTGGTCAGTAGCGCTGAGCTGGTCCACGAAGCTTTGATCGAGAAGGGCCAAGTTTTCGCCTCCCGCCCCAGAGAGACCCCGACCAGGTCCGTTTTCAGCTGCAATAAGTTCACGGTCAATGCGGCGGTCTACGGCCCCGTCTGGCGCTCGCTGAGGCGGAACATGGTGCAGAACATGCTCAGCTCCTCCCGCCTGAAGGAGTTCCGGTGTGCCAGAGAGGCGGCGATGGGTAAGATGGTCGGCAGGATTCAGGCCGAAGCGGCGGGGAACGGCGGAGCGGTTTGGGTGCTGAAGAACGCCCGGTTCGCGGTTTTCTGCATTTTGCTCGCGATGTGTTTCGGGATCGAGATGGACGAGGAGATGATCGAGACCGTCGATCAAATGATGAAGAAGGTCTTGATCGTGCTCGATCCGAGGGTGGACGATTATCTCCCGATTCTCAGCCCCTTCTTCTCCAAGCAGGTAAAACGGGCAATGGAGGTGAGGAAAGAGCAGATCGAAACGATCGTCCCGCTAATCGAGAAGCGGCGGAGGGCTTTGCAAAACCCTAATTCCGACGAAACGGCGTCGTCCTTCTCGTACCTGGACACCCTGTTCGATCTCAAAGTGGACGGGAGGAAATCGGGCCCGACTGACGCGGAGATCGTGACGCTCGTCTCCGAGTTCCTCAACGGCGGGACCGACACGACGGGGACCGCCATCGAGTGGGCGGTGGCGCGTATGATCGACAATCCGGCGATTCAGTCGAGGCTGTACGAAGAAATCAGCGCCGCCGTCGGGGAGCGGAAGGTGGAGGAGAGCGATTTGGAGAAAATGCCGTACTTAACCGCCTTCGTGATGGAACTTTTACGAAAACACCCCCCGACTTACATGTCGTTGACCCATGCGGTGATTGAACCGGCTAAATTGGGCGGGTACGACATACCCACGGATTGCAACGTTGAGATCTTCTTGCCGGGTATATCCGAGGATCCGAAGATATGGTCCAACCCGGATGAGTTCGACCCGGAGAGATTCCTGTCCGGACGGGAGACCGCCGACATCACCGGGGTCTCCGGAGTGAAGATGATCCCGTTCGGGGTTGGCCGGAGAATCTGCCCCGGGTTGAATATGGCCACCTTGCATGTGAATCTGATGGTGGCCCGACTGGTTCAGGAATTCGAATGGTCCGTTTACCCGGAAAACACCAAAGTGGATTTTAGTGAGAAATCGGAATTCACTGTGGTGATGAAGTACCCCCTCAGAGCCAAAGTTAAGCCAAGGGCATAATAATAACAATAATTATATATTTGCAAAAAAAAAAATAACAATAATTATATAGTTATATTTATAAAAGTAATTATTAATTCAAAAATGTAGCATTTTTGTTCTAAAAGAAATAGGCAAGTGAATGGGCCACTGAGCACTGTTGGGTATGATTGGGGAATTGCTGATTAGCATTTAAGTCACTGCTGTTTATGATCTTAATTAATTGTTACTCGTCATTAAATATATGTAAACACTGTATTTTGTCATTTAATATTGGAAAAATTGATAGTAATAATCCCAATTATTGGCGGTCCGCTCATAATAATCCCAACTATCGATTATTTCAGAATAATCCCAACTATAGGGACCTTCCGCCAATAATGGTTCATGTAAATAAATTCTTGTGATTTTTAAAGTGGATGAAAAGAGATATAGCAAGTAATCCCTATAAATAATCCCAACTTTTAATTTTTATGCTTAATTTCTATTTAAAAATCACTTGTTATAGGAGGTAATATATGGTCATGGACCATTATTGGCGGACGGTCCATATAGTTGGGATTATACAAAAATAATCAATAGTTGGGATTATTGTCAGCGGATCGGCAATAGTTGGGATTATTATTTACAATTTTTCCTTTAATATTTTAATATGAAGTAATAAATTACATTATACTGCCTCATTACAAAATTACTCCGTACATTATGGTGATTATTACACTGCGTATTAGAGCAACTCCAACAAGCACCAAATCCTACACCAAAATGGTGGATTTGGCAAAAAATTGCTCTAATAGTCACACCATCCCCTACACCATTAATCGAGAAACTCCAACAAGCACCAAATCCTACACCAAAATGGTGGTGTTGAGGTTTTGTCCCGCAGATCCGAAAGCCCAACATAAACTTCGGATATTAAGGACGATGGATTCAGTATAAACATAAATAAAATATATATAAGGTGTATGAACTAGCTATTTTTACGTGGAAACCCGGAAAGGGAGAAAACCACGGGAATTTTTAGGCTAACGTCCAAGCCCGCTCTTTTTCATTAATATGCTCTCCTCACCAATTACATATTACAACTCTTGAACTCCATTCATGGAGGTATAAAGCTATCTATCAAAGGGGAAGAAGAAGTATGGAGGAGGAGAGCCAAAAGATCCGATCTTCTCAAATGGGAACCCTCCTCCCTATTTATAGGAAATATGGGAGGGTTTCCGATGGGCCAACGGGCCTAATGGGCCGAGAAGGCATTAATGGGCCGAAGCAGGTCTAAATGGGCCTCGCTAATTGGGCTCCGTATCGGGGTGATGTTTCGGGCCTCAGAATAGTAGTAGGCCGGGATATTATTACCCAACACAAGTCCCCCAGTTTCTTGAGTAGTGAGCATGTGAATCTACTCGAGAAAATATACTCTTGCTCACGTCCTTCCCTGTCTTCCCTGAATTAGTCTTTGAACAGTCCTGGATGCAAGGCATGCATAAGCCATAAGTGAGGTGCAATTCCGCACTAGGCACGACGACGCTGAAGAGACAGCCGCTCGTGCTGCATAAGACGGCGGTCCCGACCCTGAATGGCATGGGTGGACCCGACCGAGAAGAAGGCACGACGGCGCTGTAGAGCCAGCCAATCGTGCTGCATAAAAGCGACGATCGCCATCCCAGAGCAAGGATAGACGAGTCCGTCAGAAAACCATGCACGACGGTGCTGTGGAGCCCGTACGTGCTGCATAAGAGCGACGGTTGCCATCCTATAGCAAGGATGGACGAGCCCGCCAGAAAGTTAGGCACGACGGTGCTGTGGAGCCCGTACGTGCTGCATAAGAGCGACGGTTGCCATCCTATAGTAAGGATGGACCAACCTGACTCGGACAGACATGGACTTGACTCGACTCAAACAGACCTGGACTTGACTCAGACGGACATGGACTTGACTCGACTCAGACAGACCTGGACTTGACTCGAGACCACCGCGGGCCATCATGAATTCACATCACCTCCCAGCCAATTTATATCCCCCGTTCGCCCGCCTTCGCCGAACGGGTCGTTCTCCCCTGGTTATTCCTAACAATAGTTCCATTCGCCCGTTCGTCCCACTAGAACGGTCTGATGTACAATGATGATCACGTCGTGCCGAGGTGGTTGATCGTAGAGCTACAGAAGCGGTCAGATCATCTGGATAATAGGTCATTTCTGCTATAAGTCAGCACCAGGGTTAAGGTGCAAGCTGTTCGGCTTATTTCCGATATTTGTTCGTAGTTTCCTGATCCGCAAGGCATCACCTCTTGCTGCCTGCTGCCTTGTAGGCCCAAGGCTGATGTAACTTGTTCGTGTTATCATCCGTGTTCTTCCTGATCCGCAAGGCAATCACCTCTTGCTGCAAGACAGTTTCACAATTTGTGTAGTGTCTGCCATCTTCCAAGCCCATAATTCCGATGCATACCGTCGGTTTTACCGTCCGGGGTCATCCATATCATGAGGTTGAGATGTCCATCCTGGACCATTGAGAATAAGGCTCCCAAGCCGGGTCTCCCCCTTATTCTCTGCCAAAATGGAGACTCGCCTTCAGGTTACAGCTCGGGTTCCACCACAATAAATCACTACATCGTGGTTCGGGCGAGCTGCATAGCCAAGGCAAGATTTTAAGACCAGAGTCCCGATCCCCCGCTCGGTCACCCTATGACTTCGGATGCCGCCCGGTTCGTCCTACTCAAGATCTTTTACACCATCTCCCAAGCTGAGTCCGGGCTTGGTTAACCTGCATCTTTTTTTTTTTTTGTGCTGAGATGGTGGCTCCCCATGGATCGAGACAAGTGGTATCTATCGATCGAGGTGAGACTTTATGGAATGTGAAGATGCTTCCTAAGCAAATAATGTCGTGTCGTGGGGCTGATCATGATATGAGGAACATCAATAAATCCAAGGGTCTTGTGAGCGCCCTCTGCTCAAGGACAGCGGCAGCAACTGCGGCAGCGATCCACAAAATGTAGCCAACCTGAAAATCAAGCAGCGGTCCTTATCTGCGCAGTGCGGGGACGAGGCCGGTCTTCAAATATGATAATGGCACCGTACCAGAGGGTCGGTGGCCATGTAATGAGGTCACCACTGGAGGCCGATCGGAAAGGAACAAGCAACGGTCCTTATCTGCGCAGTGCGGGGACAAGGCCGATCTTCAAAACATGCTGATGACACCGTACCAGGGGGTCGGTGGCCATGTAAAGATGTCGGCACTGGGGTCCGATCAGAAATAAATAATCAACAGTTCTCATCCGCGAGGAGCGGAGATGAGGTCGGTCTTCCAAATGATCACCATGCCGAGCCAGGAGAGTCGGTCGTGGTGAGAGAAAAGTCAGCGCTGGGAGGCCGATCTGTAAATCCGAGGGTCTTACAGGCGCCCTCAGCCCATAATGTTGCTCTAGGTGTCGAACGGCGGAGGCCGGATTGCCAGTCAGGTAGCGTAATCTGAAAGCTCGTGTATCGTACAGTCCATAGGACTTCTCTTCATGTGTTGTGACATCTATACATTTGTAGTCCCTTCTTTTCTCAATCGTCCATGATTCCTTCTACACACTAGTAACCTCACTCTGTTTTTTTTTTTCTTTTTTTTTCTTTTTTTTTTGTAAACCTCCCCGTCTGAGCTGGTCGAACGGCTCTAAATGTAAATATTCCTTCTTTTTGTTGCCAATCATGAACGTCTTTGCGCTTCATGCTGAACGTCATAAACATCTCTCTGCTTCATAAATTCCTCGTTCGGGCTGACTGAACGCCTATGAATGTGATTCTTTTCTGCCGGTCATGAATGTCTCTGTGTTTCATGCCGAGCATCATAAATATCTTTGTGCTTCATGATTCCCCGTTCGAGCATATCGAACAAATTTTACTGCACAATAAGCATGGTAATGCGGCCGTACGGCCGAACAACATATACAAGTATATACAATTACACACATGTATAATATTTTCCTTTTATTTATTTTTTCATTCATGACTACCGGCCGAAGTGGTAATAATAACCCTTGACCTAGATTTATCTTTTGAACTGCCCATACGCTCTCAGAACCACGTAGTGGTTTCCCGGGCGTTCTCAGGAAAGCTTTCAGCTGATTAAAGTACGTATTTCGCCCCGTAGTGGGTACAGTTGTCGTTCGGGCACTTAATGCCGAGCAGGACCATGAGTGGTCTAAACTAAAATACGTCACCGGCCGATCGGGAGTGGACTGATCAGTCACTCCAACCAAGCATTTAATTAAAACGTTGGTGATCTTGTTTATAAAGCTTCGTTCGGCATTATTCTGTTCGGGATGTTTCCACCCCTAGGCCCACCAACACCGTCATTTAATTCTAAAATGGCGACGAAATCTACCATTGGACCTTGGTTATATTTAATTCAGGATATTTTAATCCCTACAAAACAAATACTCGTTCGGTAATATCATTTCATTTAATACTTTCATGGATGTACCACCCTCCTTGAGCGGGTCCATTGATGCTTCGACCGTTAATTAATTCCGATCAGAAGCAGGCTGATGCCTAGTAAATAATAATTATTCATCTACTAGCAATTAATATTTTTAATGTATTAACGCCCGATGCCTAGCGGGACTTCATTGTATTAAAACGCGTCGCCAGAGTGATCGCCCTTTGAGATTTGCTCGGCACTATTTAATTCGGGATTTTTAATCTCTAACCACTAATAGTGATAAAATAGCAACAATTCTATTTGAGAATAAATCAGCAAGTGAAAGAATGATGTCACTTAGCTCAAATAGGCCTAGTATAGGCTGCCGTACCAAGTTATTGGACGGGAGAATTTGTTCGTTCAGAATGATCGAGCCCACATCGTTTGTAGTTTAGACGGCCCACATTGGTCATATCACATCATCCTTCCGATTAGCCCCATACCCAGCTGATTTGGTGATTTACTTTATGTTTTCTTTCCCCTGGCGATCGAGATCCTGACCATCTTTCGAATGAAACGTATGCTTCGTGGAGCCTTATCAAAGGCCAAGTCCAGAATCGTAGCTGAATGGCGGAGGTGCCGATCGGGTATTTTCCGGACAGGTGGGTTGATCTTCTATTGTTTAAATAGTCCGCCGCAATTTGTTAGAACGGCAGAATGTCCCGAACGGCAAAAAGCTCTGAATTTTGGCGCATGGGGAGGGTGCCGTTCGGTGCGCCGAGATGGCTTGTTGCACACCTGAACTGTATCGGTTCTTGTTAGAACTTTTATTGTGGGTCAAGTTTGTCTGTAATGTCTTGTTTAAATAAAGTAGACTAGTTATACTATTTATGGTATTAGATTAGTATTTATTATGTAGCAAATAAGGTAAAGGGAATAAGGCCCAAAAAGGCCTTGGCCCAACTTCCAAGGTTTACCTAAATCGGTAACCTGTACAGCGCCTATAAATATGCGCCTTGTGTACAGGTACCGATATCGATCAATACACATTAGCCTTACGCTGCCAAATTTACTTCTCGATAAAACAGAAAGAAGAATTTCCTTGTTCTCGATATTGCCTTATCATTATCAGATCTTCTCTCTTTCTGTGTGTCGATGAAATCCATCTAGCTGCGTGTTAGTCTGCATAATCTGGGACCAACAACTGGTATCAGAGCCTGCTCGAGTGTGATCGTCGAAAAAAAAATTTCGAAGTTTCTCTGTTTTCATACTTCTCGAT